CGGACCCCCAGTCGGGAAGTGGAGGCAGATTTTTATTGTGTGAAGTGGATCACTTGGAAAGGCGAGCGGACGCCCGTCATCACGCAGAGCGAGAACGGGCCCTGCCCGCTCCTGGCCATCATGAACATCCTCTTCTTGCAGTGGAAGGTAAGCGGGGTGCCGGGGAGATTTGGGGGGGCTGGCGAGGCAGGGGTCGGGCTTGGCTTCCCCCCAGATGGGGAGGGGAAGGGGCCGATCCCCAGCCTCTCGGTGCTTCCAGGTGAAGCTGCCCCCGCAGAAGGAGGTGATCACGGCCGAGGAGCTGATGGCACACTTGGGTGAGCTCCCCGGGGACCCCGTCATCCCTGCCCCGCTGCCGGGGGGCCGCAGTTAACCGGCTCGCCGGGGGCTGACCGCACTGCCTTGCAGGGGATTGCATCTTGGCCATCCAACCCCAGGAGCCGTCGGAGGGGCTGCAGCTCAACTTCCAGCAGGTGAGGAGCGAGGCCACGTGTCACCCAGACCAAAAATTGATCCCCTTCAATCTTGGGGAGCACCGCTGCAAGATTTGGGGTGCCTGTCCTGCTTCCTGAGCAAGCCCCCCCTTGTTTCTTCCCCCCAGAACATCAACGACACCATGATGGTCCTCCCTAAGCTCTCGACGGGGCTGGATGTCAACGTGCGCTTCACGGGTGTCTCGGACTTCGAGTACACACCCGAGTGCATCGTCTTCGACCTCCTCAACGTCCCGCTCTACCATGGCTGGCTGGTGGACCCCCAGGTGAGCTGGCCCTATGGCTGTCCTGCTGCCTGGCAGGTGGCTTGCGTGGGTCCGGGGACTCAAGGGAACGATCCAAGGTCTGGAGCCCCTCTCCTAGGAAGAGTTGGGGTTGTTCATCCTGGAGAAGATGACCAAGAAGAGCTTTCAATATATGAGGGATTATAGGAAAGATGGAGAGAGACTTTTACCATGACCTGTAGTGACAGGACAAGGGACAACAGTTTTAAACTGGAAGAGGATGGGTTTAGATGGGGCATAAAGAACTATTTTATGATGAGGGTGGTGAGGCGCTGGAACAGGCTGCCCAGAGAACCTGTGGATGCCCCGTTGTTGGAACTGTTCAAGGTCAGGTTGGACGGGGCTTAGAGCAACCTGGCCTGGTGGAAGATGTCCCTGCCTTGGCGAGGGGGGGTCTAGATGATCTTTGAAGGTGCTTTCCCAACCCAAACCCTTCTGTGATGCTGTGGATGGGCCTTTGAACCTGATCTAGTGCACGATGTCCCTGCCTGTGGCCGGAGGTTGGACTGATGATCCCAAACCCTTCCCCACGGTGGAAGCCACCAGCTCAGCTTCTTGGGCATCCCCGTGATGGAGCAGGGAACCAGCTGGTTGGGCAGGTTCAAACTGAGCCATCTGGGAGGGCAGGTGCCCGCAGACACGGTCCTCACCCCCCTGGCCCTTCCCCTCCCTGCAGAGCCCAGAGGTGGTGCAAGCCGTGGGCAAGCTCAGCTACAACCAGCTGGTGGAGAAGATCATCACCTGCAAACAGGCCAGCGACTCCAGCCTGGTGAGCGAAGGTAACAGCCCCCCGCCGCCCGGCTCCCTGCTCCCCAGGGTCCCTGGCACAGGGGCTCGGTGCCCCGGCCCTTGTCCCACCCCGCTTTCGCCCCAGGGCTGGTGGCGGAGCAGTTCCTGGAGTCCACGGCTTCCCAGTTGACCTACCACGGGCTGTGCGAGCTCACGGTGCCGTCAGGGAAGGCGAGCTCAGCGTCTTCTTCCGCAACAACCACTTCAGCACCATGATAAAGCACAAGGTGTGGCTCCGGGCCCTGCCCCGGCTTCCTTGGGCCGGCAGATCCCCCCCAATGCTGGCGGGGGCCAACTGTCCCCTTTCCCATCTCCCCAGGGCCACCTCTACCTGCTGGTGACGGACCAGGGCTTCCTGCAGGAG